ATATTCCTAGCAATGGAATAGCCGGATCATATGACATTTCTATGTTCAGCTTTTTTAGGAAACGCCAAACTACCTTCCGGTGTGATTATAGCACTTCATAATCCCAACGGGAATGCAAATGAGTTCTTATCACTCCAAATCCTCTCCAACATTTATTACTTACCGCCCTGCTAAACTTTGCTACATCTACTAAAGTGAGATAGTATCTTATTTTGGTTTTGATTTGCATCTCTCTGATTGCCAGTGATTTTTGAGGATTTCTTCATGTGTCTGTTAGCCATCCAGATGTCTTCCTTTGTGAAAAATATTTCCATATCTTTTATCCATTTTCTGATTGGGTTATCAGTCTTTTTCTTGTGGAAGCTCTGTGTTTACAATATTGTATAAACTTGCATCATGAGACTTTTGTCTGAAGAGCCATTGTCAAACCTACTACACAGTCATAGTAATAAAAAAGCATGGTACTGGTACAATGATAGACATGTAGACTAATGGAATAGAATCAGGGACTGAGAAATTAACCCATCTACCTTTGATCAACTGGTATTCAACAAGGAAATAAAACATACCAAGTGGGAAAATAATAACCTCTTCAGCAAATGGTGCTGGCAAAATTGAACTGGTCCCTGCAGAAAGCTGAATCAGAGTCTACATCTCACACAATGAACAAAAATAAACTCAAGGTTGATCAGAGACCTAAGGGTAAAGCCCCAAACTAGAAAGATTATAAGGGACAAAATGGTACTAAACTTAGAAGCTCTAGCCTATGTATAAATAAGCTTTCTAATATATGAGAAGGAATGTGGCATCAGGATTGGAGGAAGACTCATCAACAACCTGTACTACACAGATGACACAACCTTGCTTACTGAAACTGGGGAGGACCTGAAGCGCTTGTCATAGAAGGTCAAGGACTACAGTCTCAAGTACAGATTGAAGCTAAACGCCAAGAAAACAAAGATTCTCACTACTGAGCCAATTGACAGCATCATGATAGATGGAGAAAAGATTGAGATTGCTAACAATTTCAGTTTGTTTTGTTCCACAACCAACACTGTTGGCACCAGAAGTCAGGAAATTAAAAGACTAATTGTATTAGGTAAATCTGCTGTCAAGAACCTTTGCTGAGTGTTGAAGAGCAACAACGCCAGTCTAGAAACTAAGATGTGTTTGATCCAGGCCATGGTCTTTGCAGTTACGTGCTGGGTACTGGAGACCTGGATGACTCTTGATGATAGAAGAATAATCAATGCCTTTGAGTTATGGTGCTCAAGGAGAGGATTGAACATACCATGAACTGCTAAGAGAACAGAGAGATCTGTCTAGGAGAAGGTGAAACCTAGCTCCTAATTGGAGTAAAGGATTTTGAAGCTCTGTCTCACATACTTTGGGCATGTTGCCAAGAGGAACCAATCCTTGGCGAAGGGCATTACGCTTGGAAGAGTAGAGGGACAGCATAGGTGAGGAAGATCCCCGATGAGATGGATTGACACGATAACTCCTGTTATGGGGGCATGTGTCAGAGACACTGAGATTGACTTAGGATAGGAAAAGATTCAGCTGCATTGTGCATAAGGTTGCTATGAGTTGCAGGTGATTTAACGGCACAACAGAATAACAGTATAGCCCGAAATGCACAATCAGGAGAGGAAAAAATTAACAATGGGACCTTCTAAAGATTAAATCCCTGTGTGTATAAAAACGTTTTCCAATGGGCTGAAAATAATACCTGAAAACTATGTTCAACTCTTTGAAGAAGCACCAAACTTCCTTCCAGAATGGTTGTACCATTTTATAATCCCACCAACAATTTATAAGTGTTCCTTTCTCACCACATCCTCTGTAACATTTATTACTTGTTGTCTGTTAAACTTTGCCACTGTTTCCAGAGAAAGATGGTACCTCATTGTGGTTTGATTTGCATTTTTCTTATTGTCAGTGATTTTGAGCATTTCTTCATGTGCCTGTTGGCCATTCTAATATTTTCCTCTGTGAAAATTCTTTCCATGTCTTTTGCCCATTTTATAATTGGGTTATCAGTCTTTCTCTTGAGGAGACCCAGGAGTGTTCTATAGGCTCATCATGAGACTCTTGTCTGAGATGGTGTTGCCAAATGTTTGTTCCCAGTCTGTAGGTTTTCTTTGCACCCTGTTGGAACAGGTTTGGATGCACACATGGATTTAATCTTTAGAAGGTCCCATGTATCAATTTTCTGTTCTTCAGATTGTACATTTTGATGGGCATTGTAGCACGTTAAGCACTGCATCACAAGAATTCCTTATTGGGGAACCTCTGACTCATTCTGTAGAAGAGTAAAGGTAGAGTTTTAAATTCCCCCCCCCCAAAAAAAAGTGATATGGAAAACGTATAAACAATTCTATAACAGATTTGGTGAGTGGTTTGAATCTACCAGCTGCTTCTTGCAAAAAAAAAAAAAAGACATGTAATTTCTTTCTATGCAATTTAGTACATCTAAAAACCTGCGGGAGAGTCAGTTATGAGTCAGTTTCAAGTCAATGACAAAGTTTTAAGTTTTTTAGAAAGAAATTCATGGATTTGATAAAACAAAATGAAGAGTATTTTTGGAATCATTTCTTCAATCAAGTAATAATTTTAAGAAATATATCCCTTACTCTCACATTTTCTATTATTTCTCTTTATTGGTTATTAAAGCAGACAATAGAATTATACCAAATATGTATGAAGGGATAAGATTACTCTGAAGGAATTTGATAAAAGTTATTGTTGTTAACTACTTTTAAAAAGACCTAGGGTAGCTCTGGTGGCCTAGTGGCAAGAAGCTGCACTGCAATCCTGAAGGCGCTCAGTTCAAGGCCACCAGCTACTTCACAGGAGAAGGATAGGCAATCTCCTCCCTTGTGATTAACTACCTCTGAAAACCTGCCAGAGGTTCTGCTATTGGTCAGTTCTGACTCGGTGGTAAACAACAATAGTGACGTGGTAGTTAAGTATCTAGCTGTTAATCATAAGGTCAGCAGTTCTAATCCCCTGGAGAGCCAGCCGTCTGTGGGAAAAGCTATCTGCTTTTATAAAGACTTACAACTGTGGAAACCCTGTGGGTAAGTTCTACTCTGTCCTAGAGAGGTGCTATGAGTCAGAATCCCTTCAATTGCAATGAACAGAGTTTACTTTTACTTTGAAGTAAAGTGTGAATATGGCTGTTCTATCTAAAAAAACAAGTGATGTATATAATCCTTCCCAAGGTCTCTTCCTGTATGATGTCTTTGTCTCCATCCCACAACCCCACCTGGTCTTGGGTCATTTGTGTTCAAGCCTATTCTTGAGATAGTTTTTTTGCTCAGGTAGTATAAACTCAGTCATACTTGGGCACTTACTGACTTGTTTTCATTTTCGTCAACTTACACTAGCACGTGAGCATTTGATAGTCTTTTCCAGAGTCAACCCCTGTCCTTGTTCAGACTGATGGTAATGAGTGTTTTCTGCCCTCTCTTTCCACAGATGTAATAAATTTGATTCCTGTGTATTCCATCAGATGAAGTCTGAGTATCTAGTCACTGTTCATTTTTTAAATCAGTCTTTATTTTCAAAAGGTGAAGAGGACTTGAAGCACTTTTTTAGGAAGTCCAAAGCCTTCACTGTGGATTACATCCCAACAGAAAGAAAACAAAAGTCCTTACCAATGGACCAATTAGTAACATCATGCTAGATGGAGAAAAGACAGAAGTTGCCAATCAGATATGTAATTAATAATCATGAAGGCAGTGGTCAAGAAATCAACACAGGTATTGCATTGGGCTAATCAGCTCTCAGGGGCTTCTTTAAAATGCTAAAGATCAAGGATGTCACTTTGAAGAGTAAAGTGTGCCTGATCTATGCCATAGTATGTTCAGTTGTTTCGAATTCTCATGAAAGCTGCACGGTGAGTAAAGAACACTCAAGAGGAATTGCTATCTCTGAATCTCAGTGTCAGTGAAAAAAATATTGGCTAGATCATGGACTGCCAAAAGAACAAACATGTCTGTGCTGGACAGAGGACATTCAGAATGCTCCTTAGAAGTAAGGATAGTATGTCTGTTGTTACATCCACTGTGTCACCATGGCCTAGAAATCCCTAACTAGGACAAACCCCCCTTTCCCCCCCCACCCCAGATATCTTACAAAAGCAGCCAGGTGGTACAGTGTGTTAGGTGCTGTCTAAAAGTTCAGTAATGTAAACCCAACAGGTGCTCCACAGAAGAAAGAAGGGCCGGAGGGTGCTATAGGTGGGCTCACACTACCCAAAGCATGGCCTTTGAATTAGCAGCACCATGTCCTTCAGACTAGGCCACCAGGGCTCCCTTCTTACTGGACAGATCACTTCAACTACTCTCACCGAATTTCTATTTGCTCTCTGGAAAGCGAGGATAATATTCTCTGCTTTAACACATGGCTGTAGAAATGAGAGATATTTTGAGTTGGTAAATATTAATTGAGCATCTAATACCCCATGGCAAGGATGATATTCTTATCCAATACCATTGTTAAAATGGAAATATTGGCAATCTCCTGTTTCCTTTACTGCCTCTGGAAACAAGTTGGAGGGCCGGCTTTGATTTGGTTCCGACTTGAAAGCAATGACTTTGAGTTTTGGTTTTTGGTTGCAGTTTGTCTTACTTTAAAAACAAAACAAAAACCCCTATTTAAAAAAAAAATAAAACACACACACAAAAAAAAAAAAGAAAAAAAACCCCACAACACCCTATTTGAAAACAAAACAAAACAAAAACCCAAAACTACCTGTCACATAATATGCTCCAATTCACAGAGATCCCAAATATGTCCGTGTAACCTCTACTCCACAGGGTGGAGGGTTTTGCAGTCGTTCACCATGCCTTCTTCCTGAGCCCTTACATGTTGGCCTCAGGTGCAGCGGTCCAACAAAGAACCATATGTCCCAATAATAGCAATTCTCAAAAACATTGAACTACAAATGCTTGGAGGTCTTTTCAGTCTATTTACTTACTATCCATTCAACTTACCTGACTTTGAGTTAAATTGAGGTTTCCCCACAATACACTTCCAGAGACACCCAGAGTCACAAGTTCACCATATGTATTCACCAAGTCTTCCTGGCAAATGTGACACAAAGAGTTAGCAGACAAGAACCAAGACTACTACTCGGTAGACCTTGGGCAGGCATACCAAATACAACACGGATCTAAAATTAACAGCTTCATTATTTCCCTATTGTTTACTTCCAATGTTTACACAGCCACTGCCTCACTGTATTAAAAGCCCAGTTAATATCACTGTTTTAATGACTTCTCTTGATGAAGGTCTCTTACTTAGAGTGGTAGTCACTTGACAGCACCTAAAAACAACAGTGATAACGCAGGGACAGCCACTGTGGGTTTAAGCATGTAAGAATGGCACAGCGTTGGACAAGCACTCCATCCACTTTAACTAGGGTCATTTTAAGTCATGAGATGGATTGATACAGTGACCGGGACAATAAGGAGGTGTGTCAGAGGATAGAGTAGGTTTCAGGGCTGTTATACATAGGGGCGCTGTGAGTTGCAAGTGACTCAACAGCACATAACAATAACAACATTGATGGCAGAAGGACCATGAAATAAAGAAGGATAGGGAAGGCTGCTATATTTTCTTTGCTACCTAATTTTTCAAGGTGCTAAGATTTTATGTGATCATGGTAAAAATAAACATATCCTTAATTTCCTTACCTACGGTGAGGTAGATCAACATTTCTGCACATTCCAAAATGAAAGTAAAAAGTACACTGTGCTTCCTTCCAAACAGATGTTATTTGGCTGCTTAACAACACACTGGGACTATTTCACAGTGCCCACCCCTTGATCTATTTACCTGAGCAAGGAAGGTCAAAGGTTTATCAGTGAACTCCGGGCGAGTATAGACAAAGATTGGAAGTGGATTTTCCGGGTTGCGTACGTTAGAAACTCGAATGGCTTCCAGTGCACGGTTCCGAGTAAACAATGGCGTGAGAGCAGAAGAGGCCAGGAAACTTTGCAGATAAACGGATGGGTAAAGGGCAGTGCTTCGCTTCCACAACCAGCTCAGTGCATCGTTTCGTTTCTTTTCTATATCTATGCAACTTCCATTGTAACCAGGCTTTCTATAATTATGGTTGTAACATTCCGGGAAAAGGTAAAAGCCCCAAATGGACTTTGGGTGAGTTATCTGTCCTATTTTTAAAGTCTCTATCATGTAACCCTTTGCTGCCACTTCAAAACGTTTTTTGGCTATCTGGGTGGCCTCCTTGCGAGTTAGATTTGCATTTTCTTTCTGAACTATGTTAATAGAAGCTTTCCTATAGACATCTTTAGGTTTCCAATTTCTGTCCCAAATGGGCCTCCAATTCTCCCAATCAATGATAGCTAACCCTGTATGGTCTCCGTTCACACAACACATGTCATTCTGAGCCTTGATCAAATGGCCTGGTAAGTATTTCATCTGGGGAATGCCCCCATTCACCATTGTGCCTGTTTTTTCATTAATATAAGGATAGTAGCCAAGTTTATGTTCATAAAAGATAGTGATGTTTTGCTCTTCGTCATATTTTAGAGAGCTTCCTATAAAACTAAAAAGTCTCAGATCTATTGTCACGTTAAACTTTTGAGAACATAAATCTGTAGGAATATTCCAACCCCAGAGGAAAGGAACACCTGGGATTAAAGAAGGTGCTCTCAAGTTGGCTGTTAGGCAACAGGGAAGCAAAAGGAAGGTGAACATGGCCTGGGATGGCCTGCTGGATTCAACCATGCTCCCAAAGAAGATGTTCTTGAACTTCGGCATTGCCATTACAAAAAGCCACAGCTACAGCAATCACGGCTTACTTCCTACACACTTTGTTCACCTTATATTTGCTGCAAGATAGAAGCAGAAAAGAGTCTTGATGTCACTTTGATGCATAAAGCCACACGATGATCTTATAACATTTAAATACTACTATTCTTGCTCCACGTTTTAGGAATATCTTTACAAGTTGCAATGCAGCCACTAGGATGGATAAAAGGATAGAATGACTAGATGACACTTAAATGTTACTTTTTTAACTTCACATTTTAGGAATCTTTTGCAAGTTGCTGTGTCTATAATGGGGACAAGGAATATAGCATATAGTGTTGAATACAGCATACAGTATTATACTGTATTTCTGTATCAAAGATTAAGTCCTTTATCAATTTCTGGGTGTTAAATGCAGCAAGCTTTAAGCATTTTTAGATGATGGACAATCTATTCCTACTTTTTCATAAATAAAATTATTTCTACTTTTGTATGATATAAATTCTGTAATAGCCAGCCTTTCTTTCCTTATCTTTCCAGGATGTCATTGAACCTATAGAGAGCTACATGCATCCATTGTTTTTTCTTTTGTCTTCCTAGATAAAAAAAAAAAAAACAAACCAAACAAACCAAAAACACTGCACCTTATAACACTTTAGAAAAGTCTGTTGAATAAAAATTAAACTCAGATCTATCCTCTTATTCTTAATTGTTGCTTCTATAAAGACAACTTTTTTACTGGTCTGCTAAACATTAAAGGCATCGTTCCAGTGAACTGTGAAATCTTATCTTTCCTCTTTTCTGGGTTTCCAAAGATATAGGTGGTAACAAGAGGAGGCTTTCTCCACGGAGCCCACGGGTTCATGGATTTGAACCATCAGATACAGGAAGCTTTTAGTTAACAACACTCCACAGACTATACCACCAAAGTTCCTTTTTCTTTTGAAGGAGGACTAATAAAAGAGAAGACTGAATCTAGTTTGTCATTAGTTGTAATTTTTGTTTAATTCTTTACAGTTCTCGTAAGAAATGTATGTTTCAAGGAAGTTCAAGTTTAAAGCTTATGCTGTTAGTTTCCATTTCATCGGTTATAATCACTGTGATAGATCCAATTCAGTAGCCCGGGGGCCTCTGTGAGAAAGCTTTTGCAAAAATATCCAGAGCCCACTTCTCAGGCCTCACCTTACTGTCATTTCATTCTCTTACCTCACTATGTTTCACTGCACAAATGTCTACCTCAGATCAGGTAGTATGAGTTAGTATAAGGACAAGGAAAGTGGCTACAGAAGACACAAGCAACAAGATAGTTTCAGAATCTAGAGGCAAGTATCACAGCTGAACTCTACCACTAACTAATAAGTGACACGTTGCTTGAATAAACCAAATGACAAGGGCAACTGCCTTTGGAATATTGAAAGTTAATTTAAAAAATGTTGATATCTCATATCTTCCACTGAAAAGATTGCTCTTCCTTTCTTTCACAATGCTGCTGCTGCTGCTGTTATATGCCTTCAAGTCAGAGCTGAATAATAGCTGACCCTCCTGCAGGTTTTCAGAAATTGTAAATCACACAAGAAGAGATCGCTCATCTTTATCCTGTGGAGCAGCTGGTGGATTCAAACCACTTGCCTTCGGGATGGCAGCACAACTCTTTACTATTAGGCCACCAGAGGTCTCTTTCCTTAACAACAGTGCCAATATATCAATTTTTACCTGTTTATACAGTTGTTGTTGATTGCCATCAAGTCGAGCACGACTCAGAGCGACCCTATGAACAAAATACCTGAAGCTTTTCTATAACTATTGTTGTTTCTCAAAGTTCCTAGAGTGTCCAGAGGCATGTTGTTTAGGAAGTGGATGGCACTTCTGCTTCCAAACCTGCCTTAATCTGTGTATACTCTTTAATAAGTTAGATTGTATTGTCCTTCTGATTGTTACCATATGACGTTATAACCTCATTTGTGGTGATTTAAATGTCATGAGTCTAAGTTAAGGAAGTAAAAACTATGTATCATTTAGGATTTAGTATTTGGAAAAAATGACTTCTAAGGATGACTGTATCATCAGTTTAAAGATCATTTATAATAAATTGTTATGCACCATGGAATTGGAGCCGAACCACAGCTGACTCTCTAGCAGGTTTTCGGAGGCGGTTACTCACGCGGAGGAGATTCCATGCTCTTCTCTCAGATCAGCTGGTGGGTGGCCTCGACTCACGCGCTTTCAGAGTTGGAGCGCAGCTTCTTGCTACTAGGCTACCAAAGTTCCCTAATTTTATAATAATGTATAAAAATTCTAAGGAAAAAATTATCATTTATAAGGAGAAAAAGAATTGCTAATTTAGGGAACACTGGTGGTCTGGTGATAAGAAACTATGCTGCAATCCCAAGGGCATGTAGTTCGAATCTACCAGTTCTCTGTGGGAGAAAAATGGGCAATCTCCTCCTGTGCAATTACACTGCCTCTGAAAACCCCCTGGGGGGTCAGCAATGGGTCCGTTCTGAATCTATGGTACTAACAACAGTAACATTTGAAAAAATAACATAAAAGGAGATAACATATTTACATGTTCTGTGTTTCAAGCAGGATACCATAACTGTTCTTTTAAATTATGTAATTATGTAAACAGATGTTTACCTTCTCAGAAATGTGTGGCTTTACCTTTGAGATTTTCACTCATTCCCTCATCCATGAAAGATTAAATTACCCTAAACAGAACGTCATGTTGCTCTCAGGGGCCATCAAGTTTGCTGTTGTTGTTGTTGTTATGTGCCATCAAGTCACTGGCAACTCATAGCAACCCTATGTACAACAGCCCTAAACTCTGCTCTATCCTGTGCCAATTGCACTGCCTCTGACACACCCATCTCTATTACCCCAGTCACTGAATCAATCTACCTCATAGAGGGCCTTCCCCTCTTGCGCCATCCCTCCACCCTCCCAAGCATGGTGTCCCTCTCCAATGACGTCCCTCCTTACATATCCAAAGTACGTCAGACGAAGCCCCAGAATCCTTGTCTCGAAGGAGCAGCCTGGTTTAACCCTCTCCAGGATGAATCTTTGTTTTCTTAGCAGTCCATGATATACTCAATACTCTTCTCCAGCACCACAACTCAAAGGCATCACTTCTCCTTCTGTCTTTCCTAGTCATTGTCCAACTCTCTGATGTATAATAAGTGATTGCAAAGACCATAGCCTGTATCAGACGTACCTTAGTCTCCAGAGTGACACCATTGCTCTCAGTACCCTGGAAAAGTCCCTAACAACAGACTTTCCCATCGCAAAATGTTTTGGTTTCTTTTTTTGTTTGTTTTTTCATTTCCTGGCTACCGGTGCCAAGAGTGTTGACCATGGGGCCAAGCAGACTAAAGTTGTTAACAATCTCAATCTCTTCATCATCCATCCTGATGCTGCCAGTTGGTCCAGTGGTGAGAATCTTTGTTTTCTTGACATTGAGCCTCAATCCATATTGGAGGCTACAGTCCTTGACTCTCTGCAGCAATTGCATCAGGTCCTCCTCAGTTTCAGCAAGCAGGGTTGTGTCATCTGCATAACGCAGACTGTTAATAGATCTTCCACCAACCCTGATGCCACACTTCTCCTCATAGAGCCCAGCCTCCCAGATAATCTGTTCTGAATACAGGTTGAAAAGGTATGGAGATAGGACACATCTCTGATGTACACCTTTCCCAATTTTGAACCATGCAGTGTTTCCTACTCTGTTCTGATGACTGCCTCTTGGTCCACATATAGGTTTAGCATTTTCTGAGATTCCCATTCTTCTCAGATTCAGCCACAGTTTGTTATGATCCACACACTGATTATGCCTTTGCATAATCAATAAAACACAGATAGACATTCTTCTGGTATTCCCTGTTTTCAGCTAAGATCCATCTAACATCATCAGCTACAATATCCCTCATACCATGACCCCTTCTAAACCCAGCCTGGACTTCTGGCAGTTCTCCACTGATGTGCTGTACCAGTCGTTTTTGGATAATCTTCAGTAGAATCTTGCTTGCATGTAAAATCAATAATATTGTTCTATAATTTCCACACTCTCTTGGGTCATCAAGTCTATTTCCACTCAAATGACACCATGGGGCAGAGCAGAACCTTCCTTTTGCGTTTTCTTGGCTGCCATCTTTGCATTAACAGCACAGCTCACGTGCTGACTATGCCCCCTAGAGCTCCTTTACCTGTGCGATTTATGAAAGCTCATTATGAAGTCTTCTTCCCATAGAGCAGTGGATGCATGGGTTTGCACTGTCAGTTGTTGCCAATTCACAGGGAAGCAGCCAAGCACTTAACCATTCAAAGCACCATAGTCAGAATAAAATGAAACTGTAAAGACATTAAAGACTGCTATTTTTAAAGATAGGTCTTTGTCCCTGATGCTTATATGAATGGTCTGCAAAGTTAAAGGCTTTATGGACATCCTTACTCAGAACATTTTTTACTTGGAATTTTTCTATACCTGTTAAATCTGTATGCTGAGCAAATTATTTAAGAAGCTGGACTCTATGAAGAGGAACGTGGTCTATGAAAGAGATGGTTGTCTACTTTTGAAAAATAACCCCTAAAGACACTATGGAGCCCAGTTCTATTCTGACCCATGTAAACTTACCAACACATTTGAGTCAACTCAGCTCCAAGTAGTTTTAAGTTTCCTCCACAAGAAAAGAACTTTCTAGCATGAAGAAGACAAAATTCCAAGGGAGCACCAGACCCCTAAATTTGTTTACCTCGGCATCCTGATTGCATTTGGTAAGATGTACATTGTATATGTATATGTATATGTATATGTATATGTATATGTATATTCTTTCTAAGGTACTGAGTTGATCATTTCAACCCAAAGGATGATTTCTATCTTCAATTACAATTCTATCTTCAAGTTACAGTGAGTCTAAAGTAAGAATTTAAGCTTTTAAAGACAGTAACATGATAGCTTCCAGACACAGAAATTGATATACAACTTTCTTCTCTAAAAGCAAAAAAGAAAGAAC